GGAAAAGATTCATATTCTCTTTTTAGCTCTTGGCTAGAGTTATCAAGCTCAAGGAAAGTAAAAAAAACTAATTAAAAAGTGGGAAAGAAAGGTCAACATTAAATTAATGCTCAGCATTATTGCTGTACATATTATCCCTTTTTCAAGGTCTGTTTCATTTTAGAAAGACTGTCTAGGGGAATGGAGAACAATGTTAAGTAAACCAGTGAATAATTTCTAATACTGTGTAATATTCTATTGTAAGAAAACAGAAAATGAATAGAGTTATATTTCTTAAAACTAAGTAGCACAAAGCCCATATAATGGAAATACGGCTTCTCAAATCATTGTAATATTGATTGTTTATTGAGTACCCCTCTCTCAAGAAGCTGAAGGTGTTTTATCAACATTACTTTAGTAGTTCTCACATTTCCCCTTCATATTGATTGTGGTGTTTCATTTTGTGGAAAAAGAAAATGGCACCCAGAAAGGGTGGTGGAGTGGTTTGCTTAGGGCCACTCAGCAAAGCAAGGCCAATTCCAGGGTTAGAACTTAGGCCTACTTGTACCAGATTTCCAACAAGCAAAGTGAGACTAGATATGTGGTACCTGTGTCACATACAGGCAACACGTATATTTGGGTGTTTTATGTAAAAGGAATTAATTGCTTACTTTTTTTTCCCTCTTGGAGTCAGAGGTTTGAAGTGCATGCTAAACAAAAATATCATCAACATTCATTGCAGACACACTAGGGGAAGCTATCCACAAGTTAGTGGGTTGGGACAAAAAGAAATCATGTTCTTCCACCTCTCCTAGAAGGAATAATGGAGACTATTATCCTATCTGCTCATCCCAAGAGTTGAAGGAAACTTCTCTATAAACTGCCCTTTAGTTCCAAAGACTGGCAAAACCACATAGAGGACATCCAAAGCCTTTGCCGTTGGCTCCACTGGGAGGGAATGCAGTGTAGAGAAGGCAGACAACTGGTATCACTAGTTTGTGCACAGGGAAATAGTGACTAGGGTACACAGCCCTTACACAAACACAAGAGCACTCACCACACATATGATTCACTCGTCTGTCTGAAAAGGCTAAAACTGTCCTGAGTTCAAAGGTTGGAATCACTGGCTTCCAAGAGCCATCCTTCCAGAAGAGAACCTGGTATTGCCCTGGGGAACTCTTATGCTTCATATTGAATATCTCATAACCCACAGAAACTCCAGGACTTATGGAAAGTGACTGTAACCAGAAGACAATATTCCCCAAGCGTCTATAGCATGTATCCATATAGGATAGAAAATAGTATTTCTTGTCCATCAAGAGAACATCAGCACAAAAGAAAGTTCCCTTATTTGTCACACACCAGCTCCCTTCCTCCCATTCACCCCTGATCACCATCAGGCAGTGAGGAACAAACACAGATATGGCCCTCACTGCGTGTCACTGAGTTCTCAGAATGACCCAGGAGACAGATTCCGTTAGTGCTGCCAGGTTACCAAAGGAAACAGAGGCCCAGGGAACTTAGGTAACTTGTCCAATGTCACACAATTTATAAGTGGTAAAGCCAGGATTCAGTCCTGGGCAGTCTGGCTCCAGAGTGTGTTTAAATTCACTACCTGTCCTGCATTACCTGGCTCTCAGGTATATGCCTCCAGACTCTGAGGAGACAATTACATTCTTATTATAACATCATTTCTTCCAGTATACACAAAATGAAGCATCAGTGAATTAATAGACTTTTTTTTAAGGATAAGAGGAATTTTCTACATGCAAGGGTAGCTTGATGCCACTTCACAGTACATGGGCAGCTCCACTGCTAGCATTCAAACTATCTCACCATGCCAGGATTGGTCAGTTAGTGAGCAGCCTTTTGGGTCCCTCCCACCATTAGACAACATCAAGGATGATGTCTCTGGTGTGGTCAGTATGAAGCACAGTATGAAACTCAAGGGAACCACTCCTAATTCTGGTGCCATCTAGTTTTCATCTCATCTGCAGGGCTTGACCTGTCCTAGACAGTTGGGGCATAGACTATATAGAACCAATTATCTACCTTCGAAATGGTTGTATTCACTAGAAGGAATGTGCCCAACCCACAGTCAACAGAGAGGTGTACAATCAACATAAATGCCTATAGATACAAAAGATCTATAATAACTGATGGTGGTTATAAGTAAATAATGTTTAAGTATACTTTAAGGGGTGAGATGGAGTAGGTTGGGATTCTGTTGGCTTTGGAGAGAAGGTATGGCATTAATAAGAGACATTTTTAGGAGCAAGTTGCAAAGATTAATAGGAGAAGATGCAGCACAGCTGCCATGTGAAGGAAGGAGAGTATGGCATCTGGGGGTGCACTGCAGCAAAAGAGCACCAGAGAAATGAAGCTGCCACCCATGATTTCAGCAAGGCATTTGACCTCCCTGGGTCAAGACCCTCCCCAGTGCTTCTATCTGTCTATATGAAGAACTGGGTATTGACATCCAAAGAACATGGTGAAGCACTTTGAGTTCTTTAGAAGAAAGGTGTCATCATCAAATATCTTTTGGGTTAAGGGAAATTTATTATTTGGAAGAAATGCCTATGGCATATGGCATCTAATTTGCTCCAAGCACTAGTAACTCAGATGTCTTGGGAAGGAAACAATCTAAAGTATCACCATAAAAAAAAAGGCAAGTGTTCCAAGCCTTGCAAGTAACACACTTCTCTTTGGCATTGTATAAACTGCTTGGGCTCTGCCCAAGCCAAGGCTACATGAGCCCAGACCCAGATCTCAAATGACTGCCCATGCTTTGCTCTTGGGCTGGCGTCAGTCATTCGCAAGTGGAATCAGATGTTGTCTTTACAGTGTAACTGATGTTTTTAGTGGAGCCATGTTTATATCTCGATCTTTCTTATTTGTGTGATGTTCTGTTTTATAACTTGAATCTCTAGAAATCTTTCCCATGGCTATGCATCATTCCTTATCACCCATAACCAAATATGGCAGCTTTAAATAGTGCTGTCATTTTCCTCAGTTTCATTCATTGTGATATAATCAGGTATAGATTTCTGACATCATGCACATAATGGGGTTTCAGATTCAGAAAGTAACAATGAAAGATTTTTTGAAGATATTTCTCAATTGAGAGACACAGAGTAAAATAATAATGACTGACAGGGCACATAGAATTCACTTGTGTTTGCCCAAGAAGTGGCCTAAACCAGCACTTTCTGCCACAGCAGGTATGCGGGCATGACCACCTCCCTTGTCCCCACTGGGCTCCGTGCACAGGTTCCATGCAGTCTGTCTCCCAATGTCTGCCGCTGGCTCTCGGGGCGGTGCTAGAGACATGGTCAGCCTTGTGCAGAGATGAACCCAGTGCAAACATGATATATCTTTATTTTTATATCTGGACATTTGTTCACCAGTGTTTTGTGTTTCTTTTCAATTAACAGTTTACATTCAATATTATTTTCTATTAGTTTCAGGTGCACAGCATAGTGATTAGACAACCATTTACTTCACAAAATGTTCCACCTGATATTTCAGGTACCCACCTGGCACCATGCACAGTTATTAAAATATTGTTCCCTATATTCTCTATGCTGTATTTTACATCCCTGTGACTGATTTATAACTGCCAATCTGTAGTTCTCAATCCCTTTACCTTTTTCATACAACCCCTCCCCAATGGCAACCATCAGTCTGTTCTGTGTACCTATGAGTCTGTTTTTATTTGTTTGTTTACTTGTTTTGTTATTTAGATTCTGCACAGTGAAATCATATGGTATTTATCTTATTCAGTCTGACTTTAAAAAAGCCATATTTTAATACTAACCATAGGTTGTGCCATGACTGATATGGTATTGAACTTGAAAATGTACTTGTTCATACAACCCCTGAGCTTAATACTGATTTTCTGTCCCACCTAAGGAGTTCTTAGATTTCTGGAATCATAAGGGAGCACTTATGACAGTGATTTCATTGCAGTGAGAGCCACAGGCCGTGTGCACGGTGGAGGTGGGGATGGGAGCAGAGGAGAGCAGGCCCTGTCTGTAGTAAGCAGCACCACTTGCTCTGGCCAGTGAGAATATAAACCAAGGGCCAGATCACCCATTAAAAAAAAGAAAGCAGAACTGTGGATTTTAAAATAAAATCTGCTGATTGCTTCATATAGGCAATGAATCAAAATGAGTGAATGGTGCAGAGTAAACAAGTGGTCTATGGGCTCTGTGGGGCCTGCAGGCCTGGGCAAGCTGGAGAGGTGTGAGGCCCCGCCCAGGGCACCACAGCTCAAGACTTGGGGCAGCTTTCTGGACCCCACCCTTCTCACCCCGTTCCACTCTCCTCTACTTTCTGTGTCTGGCTCCATCCTCTGACTCCCCTGACTCTGGGCTGGGGATAGACCATGTTTTCCCCCAGCATCATGGTCCCAGCCCTGGGCTTGGGGCCAGCCTTTCACTTAGCTGGGTAATCTGGATGCATCTCTTAACTGCCCTGGGCTTTGCTTTCTTCATTAGAAGATGAAAATAATAACCAGTGCCTTATAGCACCAGTGCAAGGTTCACTTGAGAAGGTCACACTGTGTGTGAGGTCACCCTGCCAAGGAAAACCAAGGGTGCATATGGTATTAGCATCCTCCTGAGAAAGGTGTGAGTGTCCAGGAGGGCTGGTTGTCCTGCTCCAGCACCACAGACATCATAGCTCAAAGCGACTTTGGGCCCATCTCTGCTGCTGCCGGGGAACAGGAGGCAGTACTCAAGGGCTGTCCTGTGTGGCCAAAGCAAAGCTTACCTGGGAAGGGACATGACCTGGGCTGTTCTTTTGTCTCATCTGATGAGATTGGGACAGGGTAGGTGTTCCAAAGCAGCCCCCTCTACACCTTCATCTCCAGTGTCACTTAAACCAATCATTCAGGACACCAGACAATGCAATCTGGGGCCAGACCAACACTCACCACACCCTCTGTCCCATACTGCCTGGCCCAGGAGCCATTCTGACTGAATGTGTACAGTGAATCTTGTTTTTATCTCCATTTCCAGGGACGCAAACCTGGCTATTTCTCCTTCCTGGACCCATTTTCTCCAGGCGTCTGGCTCTTCATGCTGCTAGCCTATCTGGCCGTCAGTTGCATCCTCTTCCTAGTGGCTCGGTACACTGTCCTCCCTGTCCCCTTCCTCAGGCTGCCACCTTGTGTCCACCTCTGGGAACTACCTAGGAGGGGTGGGGAGTAGGAGAAGACCTTGGTGCCAAGCTGGAGGGATGAGAGGGGAGTCAGAACCTGAGCCACTCTCCACCCAGCTGTCAACCAGGTACTATCTACCCACCCATGTCTGCACACATTCCCTAATGTTTACCATGCCAACAGGTGAGCTTGTCCTGATTTCCTTTACACCCCTGCCTCTTCCCCTCCCACTCTCCATTTTCTAGCCCCCTGCTTGTGTAGGAGCCTTGGGAGAAAGGAGGAGAGGAGAGGAGAGGGAGGGCAAGATTACTCAGGTTAAACAGGATGCATTTCATTGCTCTAGCATCAGCCTTTGCTAGGATCTGCCACAAAGTGCTGAATGATACGAAACAGGAATGGAAGGAGCCACCAGAGGCCTAGGGGGCAAGGCCTCTTGTACAGGGGGCCTGGCCTTTCCCCAGCCTGGATCTGTCTGTGCAAACACAGCTACCTTGTCAAATGAGAACCATGAGGGTGGCAGGAGGCAGGAAGGCAGGATGGAGAGAGGCATTTGCAAGTAGTGTTGAATTAAGACAAATGGTCCAGATCAGGGATTGGGAAGAATAAGCCCTTCCCTGTCCGCAGGGACCCAAGACCACCCTGGGGCCTGTGGAGGAGCCTGAGGAGCCTCCCATGGCTGAGGCCTCCCTAGGCTGTGTGCAGAGAGGACTGTTTCTCTCTGGGCCAAAGGCATCACTGTGGCCTGGCTTCAGAGAGTGACTTACTATCCCGAAGCAGAACAAGTGCTAGTGGCTCATCAGCCACTCCCTCAGAATCCCTGCTCCCTACTCAGAGCTCTTCCCATTCTCCTGCAGGACCAGTGAGAGCTATTCCACAGAGCAGAGGATCTCTCAGAATGGACTTCTATAGGACAGTGGCCCTGCTCCAGCTATGTCCTCAGTGGCCTCCTTGGTCTCCAGCCTCAGGGCCACATGGGCAGGGCTAGATGATTCTGAAATGCATGTGCCACCTCTGGTGGGGGTTGGAGCAAGGTTTCCCTGAGAGCATGTCTCTTCAGTGGCCCCATAGGAGTGTATACTTTCTCCAGTTACAAGACAGGGCCCCAAGGAACCATAGGGTGCCTGGGTCCCTAACTCTGGGGCAGTTCCCAGCCCACCCAGGGGATACTGTGTCTCCCAGTCTCTGCTCCTTTCAGTGGAGATCAAAGCCAAGTCCAGGAAGTCCTTCAAGCCTAACAGAAAAATACCTTACTTACAACCTGGTAGTCTCAAAAGCTGTTGTGTGTGCTGTCCAGAAGCCTGGCTTTGCTGCTCCTCAGTTCATTCTTACCCCCTCCAATGGAGCCCCTCCCTGGATCTAGCAACCCACAGCTTTCAGGTGACCTTAGGTTCCTGAAAATAGTCTCCTGGCTTGGTTACCAACACACACACTCACACACACCCACTTCCCCATGCCTGCCAGAGCCAGAAACTTCTCAACAAGCCCTTGGGGTTAAACAGCCCCTCTTCCTTGACCTCTGTACGCACACACACCACCTGCCAGGATCCAGCACTAACAAAAAGATTTACCAAAAGAAGTATTAAAGGCCAGATCATATAACATGTGTGTGTATATATATAAATATACACATGCACAACTTTTTGCACATATTATAATGTATATTACATGTATCTACCATATATGTAGATATATAACACCATGTGTGTGTGTGTGTACAAACAAACACATACATACATAACATCTGAGCTGAGGCTAACTAACCTGACCTAAGACAGTGGTCTGCAAACAGGGCTCCCTGAAGCATCAGGCACAGTGCAGGTAGCAGAGACTTGCAGGGAGGAAGAGAAGAGCCTGGGCAGCCAGAATTCTGGGGTCCCCTCCTACCTGCATTCAGACCTGCCCCACTTCTGTTTCTTATATATTGTTCTTCTGGATAAGATTTTAGAAGGAAAAATGTTTAAAAACTACTGATCTAAGGCAGCCATTCCCAAGCCAGCCAATACCTGAGCCACGCAGGGGGCTTTAAAAAAACTTGAATATTCAGGTCTAATCTCAGAATCTCTAGGGATGTGGCCTGGGAATTTGTATGTTTGAAGCTTACTTCCAATGGCCCATAGATTTGGGATCCACCAGGTGAGTATGAATCAGCTTCATAGGCCACAGGGGGAGGGAGCACATGCAGGTCAATAGCAGCCTGCTGCCATTGAATTCAGGACCCTTGGCAGTAATGAGAAGGTGGGCCAGCGACTGTAAAACACCAAGGTTACACTGAATGACGGACTAAGAAGGGCAGTGATGGTAACACCCTGTGAACTGGCAGCAGCCTCACTGCTGGGCACACACCTATATGCCTCTCTCTCATCAAAACCTGAGGGCTTTTTTTCACCACTCCACCTGCAAAGCTGGAGCACTGTGCATAGGAGACAGGCCTAGGCTGCTGAACAGAGGGAATGTGTCTGTCTGCAGGTGGAAAGAAAGGGCATTGCAGACATTAGGGTATCACTGAGAGAGTCCAGTGGGAGGTTAGGAGGGAAGGTGGGATGGAGTGTGCCCTGCTTTATAGGAGGCAGGTGCCCCAAGAAGGGCATGAGCACCCTCTACCCTGTGTGCTCATTATAGTCACCTGGGCCACTGTACCTGGGATCAAGATCTAGTCACTGGCATTTTTGTAAGTTCCCAAGTGAGTCTAAAACACAAGACAGGATTGAGAACCATGGCCTGAAGGACTTGCTAGGCCAGGGTTTCTCCAAATGTGGCCCTTGGGTCAGTGGTATCAACATCACCTAGGAACTCACAGATTCCCAGGCCTCCCCCAGACTTACTGAATCAGGAGCTTGGTGGGTGGCAACAATCTGTGTCTTCACAACTCTTCTTGGAGATTCTGACACAAGCTGAAGTTTGTGAAGCATGCTGTGGGCTGAGGGTTTCCAAACTCTGGCTCTGTGGGGCCCCAAAGCCCCTCTGTGATGATCACAAGGGCCTGGGATGTCAGGACAGTCACACTCCCAGCCTCCCATCAAGGGGCTCCATTTCATCTATTTCATACATCAGAATTTATTTTTGAGAAAGTAAAAATGTCTCTGCGATTAAAGGAAAACAGTTTGAAAATTGCCAATAGCATCCAACCTCCTTGCTTTTTGGTTGGGAAAATCCAAGTCCAGCAAAAGGGAAGTGGCTGCCCAAACTACAAGGCCTGTGACAGAGTATAGACATGAGCCAGAAAGAACCCCCCCAACTCTTCCCAGCACACTTGCCTTTGCACCTGCCCTCCATGGCACTGGTAGATGTTCTTTTTTTCCCACAGGTTGACCCCTTATGAGTGGTACAGCCCCCATTCATGTGCCCAGAGCCAGTGCAACCTCCTGGTGAATCAGTACTCCCTTGGCAACAGCCTCTGGTTTCCGGTTGGGGGCTTCATGCAACAGGGCTCCACCATCGCCCCTCAAGCCTTGTCTACTCGTTGTGTCAGTGGCGTCTGGTAAGATCCGGGGCAGAGAAGGGACAGGGCCAAAAGGGCAGGGACACACAAGGTGTCCTCAGATAACCCCCACTCTGGTTGTACACTGCAGCTTCTGGCAGGCAGAAATCTCAGCTCCCCTGTCGGGGAGACTGTAGCCTCTGCCTTTCAAAACAGACTAGCTGGGAGCTGAGCTGCATTCTGCCAGCTCAGAAGGTTTGGGGGCAATGGGTATGTGTGCTTTGTGCGATCTTATCCTATTCCCCTTTCTTTGTTTTTGAGGTCTGGATACATAGAGCCAAGGCAGAAAAGGAGATGGAATGAGGAAATAAACTTAAAGGCCCACAGCAAAGCAATTATAATGTTCAGACCTGGAAATGACCTGAGGTTGAGTGGCTGGGCAGGCAAAGGCATAGGAAAATATGAGCCTGTGGCAGGAAGTGCCTGCAGGAGGAATTCAAGCCCAGCTGCCACATCACACCCCTACAGCAGCTTTCTTTCCCTCTGTATCTGGCTGGGGGGTGGGGGTGAGAGGTGGTGGCTCACCAGACCCCTCCACCTCACCAGGGTGGGAAAATGCAAATTCTTAGTTACTCAGAGTTAGACAGGATCTTGGGGAGAGAGTTGACAGCATGCAGTCCAAACTCCAGTCTACATGGACCATCAGCCAGTCTCTACCTGAATGAAACTCCTTTCTCCTGGCTTACACAGGGCAAAAAGAACATGGCCAAATGACTCCGTGTGTGGCAAAGCTCTTTGAAAACTTGAAAGTACTGCATAAGTATGTGGACTGAATAATTGCTATTAGACCATTATAGGAGGAGATGAAACATAGATATAGATAAATATGGATATAGATATATAGATGTAGATATATAGATAGGCAAGTTTGCAGAGTACAGTTTTCTCATCCGCACTTGGGTTTGGCTATACCAGATTATAGGACTTACAACCTTGGTTCTCTCACCCTTTCCAGTCTCTGTAAGACTAAGGAAAAGGAAAAGTGGTATGTCCACTATTGAACAACTGTGCTAGGGACAGCAGGTCACCTGGACAGTTATCAGAAGGGCTGATGAGGAGGTGAAAATGCAGCTGGACAGTGTCCCCTTCCCAGCTGGGCTTTTTGTTTTCCTTGATCAATGATAAATACATTAGGGTTTAAAACATTTGAACAAGGTGCTTGCTCATCATCACTTGTAGCTAAAAATCACATGGATCAACATAGAGACCTGGGTTTCACATTGTGGGAAGAAGGAATGATCTTAGCAGAGAGAGTCACAGCATGTCCTAAAATTTCAAGAAATCTGGGCAGGAGCCATGGAGACAAGCAGAAGTCAGCTGCAGATTTTGATCTCTCTCTCTGGGCTTTTCCCTGCAGAGGGTGCTTGTTCCCATGTGCTGCACACAGGGCCCCACTGCCTGTGCCACCCACCTGTCAGCAGTGCCTGTGCCCTGCACTGCTCTGCAGTGCTTTTGATAGCTGGCCCCAGCCATTCTGGCTCCCAGCCCCAGCTCTGTATAGTTCTCCCCCTCAACCTCTTGGAGTTCTTGGCTTTTAAATCAGGGCCTCAGTTTGGTCAGCTCCCTGGGGGAGTGGGAGGTCCAAAGATAAGTCCATCAAGCTTCTCTTAGCTTCCTCCCCCTGAGCAAGTGACAGAAAATGCCATGTTGCTGACGAGAATGCCAGCTTTACAATGGATAATGCCCCTTTCAGACAGGACCAAATTTCCACTGGCCACTCCAGAGAGCACAGCATGGCATGACTGACCCCCTCAGCAGAGATCATTGGCTCGCACTGAGCTGCTCCCACCTCTCACCCCTTCTGTGTGGCCAGAGGCATAAACTCCATCTGGTGACCAGGCTGGAGCAGCATAGCCACAATGGCTGAGGGAGCCTCCTTGGCCCATACTGAGGGGATGTTCATACCCACAGCTTCTTGAACCACAGCACTAGTCAATGTTACTGAGAAGCTTCAGAATGGTCATCTTTACCTAGGGACCCCATCACTGCCCCCAGCCTCCTCTGGGGCACGGTCATGAGAAACAACTCCCAACATAGTGCAAGAGCTTAGATGGGAACAGGGAAAGCAGGTTTTGAATAGAGAGGGATACCTGGCACTTAAAGATCATAAATAGGGGAGGCAGCCAAAGGATTTTCATCCCATATTCAATGTGAGGGTCTGTCTCTATTTCTTTATATCTCACATTCATCTAGTGGTTTACAGATCTCATTTGATCTCAAAAATCTGAAGAGCAGGCATCATCATCCCCATTCATTACATGTGCAATAAGTTGAGAGGCTGTCTGTGGCTGTCCCCCACACATGTCTGGTTGTCTGGCATATGAGCACACCCATCAAGTTGTTGGGTGCCCCTGTATGCTTCAGGGAGGCAGCCCACAGGAAGCCTGGACATCATGCAAAGGAGACAGCAGGACTTCCTGCCCTTGCAAATCCACCTGGAACCTGCCAGCTGCTGAGTCCTGGGGCTGACCCTATGCCTTAGTTGGCAATGTCTTCATAATGTGTAAAGCCTCATTAATTCAGACTGCACTATTTCAGAATGCGTGATTATCCAAGCTCAGTTGCACTTAGATATATCTTTGAACCCCCATAAACAAATGGATCACATACAGATCCATACTGCTTATTTAAACTACTTAAGTGAACAAATCAGTTTTAAGGGCTTTAGTATGTATATTGCCTGAGTTGAAAATCACTCTAATTTTAAATGAGTTTGATGTACCCAATAAAACAACATTCTATTTTAAAATAGCACATTTAAGACTGTTTTTTGAATTCCAACTTCTGAAAAGTTCAAAGGTGCTTTTCAAGTCTTAAAGAATTTCTGCTGTTACAATTTATAGAACTGGTTTTAAAATACAAATTTATCAATGTGTTCCTTGGCAGGTTATTTTGCTTCTCTGAGATTCAGCTTCCTCATCTGTAAAAGTGGGATAAGAATGGTACCTCTGAGTTGTAAGGAATGTGTGAGACAGTGTCTGTGGCTCAGGGCAGGTGCTCAGGACACGGCAATGCTCATCTGAAGGCCAGCTGCATCATGAAGACACAGCCCTAGCTCTGGACAGAGCCCCCAGATCTTCCACCCTTAACTCATTCCCTAGCTCATTTCTTACAGTCTCCCAAACTGTCTCATGTAGACAGACATACCTCCATTTAGTAACAATACCCAACATGTAGACAGACATACCTCCATTTAGTAACAATACCCAACTCGCCTCCTTCAGGAAATAAAAAAAAAAAATTGTCCTAGGCAGTCCTCCAAAACACTGTTTGTTGGCAGTGCATCATTTATCTTCCCCCTCTAAGCTGAGAGTTGCTTTCAGAGAGGGACACCTGGTCTCTCCTACATTGCAGCAGGACCAGATATGGGGGTGAGGACTCCCAGGAGTGCCCCTGGACATGAGAACTTCCTGGTTTTCTCCTACACAGGTGGGCATTCACGCTGATCATCATCTCCTCCTACACGGCCAACCTGGCCGCCTTCCTGACTGTGCAACGCATGGATGTGCCCATCGAGTCAGTGGATGACCTGGCTGACCAGACCACCATTGAGTATGGCACGATTCATGGAGGCTCCAGCATGACATTCTTCCAAGTAAACCAATTTGCTTGCTCACCAACATCAGGAATTGGGAAGAACAAAGTTGAGATATCTGCCCACTGCAGACAAAAACATCTCTCCTCATCCCATGGTCTCTTTGTAACATCTCGTGTGGAGATTCACATGAGTTTATTTTCTCCTGATCCACAAAATATCCATGGAATGAGGTCCCAAAAACACTTTGTGTTAATGTCAGCCTGTCCAAAGATGTTGCACATGAACAGTTAGTGGTAGTTGATATGATTTTAGGTACAATTTAGCAGAACTATTTTTTAATTGTAATAGTTTCATATTTATTTTAATGAGTGTTAGAAAAAATAAATGCAGTGAATCTAATATGTACCTTTCTTTATATGGCTGTGCAGAATGAGGCTAATGTATATATTTAGATCTTTTTAATTTTAATTTTAATTTTTTATTTTAATCATTGTTCAAGTACAGTTTTCTCCCTTTTACTCCCAATCCAGCCCCCCCACTCAACCCTTCCCACTTCCCTCTCATTACCACCCTCCCCCTAGTTTTTGTCAATGTGTCCTTTCAATTTGTTCCCGTGAACCCTTCCCATTGTCCCCTGAAATTCCCTCTTCTCTCCCCTCTGGTCACTGTCAGCCTGTCCTCTATTTCAGTGTCTTTGGTTATATTTTGCTTGTTTCTTTGTTTTGTTGTTTAGGTTCCTGTTAAAGGTGAGATCATATGGTATTTGTCTTTCACTTCCTGACTTATTTCGCTTAGCATGATGCTTTCCAGCTCCATCCAAGCTGTTGCAAAGGGTAGGAGCTCCTTGTTTCTTTCTGCTGCAAAGAATTCCATTGTGTAAATGTACCATAGTTTTTTGATCCATTCATTTACTGATGGGCATCTAGGTTGCTTCTAGCACTTAGCTATTGTAAATTGTGCTGCTATGAACATCGGGGTGCAAAGGTTCTTTTGTACTGGTGTTTTAGTGTTCTTAGGATAGAGTCCCAGCAGTGGAATTGCTGCGTCAAAAAGCAGGTCCATTTTTAGTTTTCTGAGGAAGTTCCATACTGCTTTCCATAGTGGTTGTACCAGTCTGCAGTCCCACCAACAGGGCACTAGGGTCTCCTTTTCTCCACAACCTCTCCAACACTTGTTGTTTGTTGCTTTGTTTATGATGGCCATTCTGACTGGTGTGAAGTGGTATCTCATTGTGGTTTTAATTTGCATCTCTCTGATAGCTAGCGATAGGTGTCTTTGGATTTTCTGAATGTCCTCCTTGGAAAAGTGTCTGTTCAAGTCCTTTGCCCATTTTTTAATTGGGTTGCTTGTCTTCTTAGAGTGTAGTCGTGTAAGTTCTTTATATATTTTGGAGACTAAACCCTTGTCTGAGGTATCATTGGCAAATAGGTTTTCCCATACAGTTGGTTCTCTTTTTATTTTGATACTGTTTTCTTTAGCTGTGCAGAAGCTTTTTATTTTGATGTAGTCCCATTTGTTTATTCTTTCCTTTATGTCCCTTGCTCTAGGGGACATGTCATTAAAAAAGTTTCTGCATGAAATATCTGAGATTTTCCTACCTACGTTCTCCTCTAGGACTTTAATGGTGTCACGGTTTATATTTAAGTCTTTTATCCACCTTGAATTTATTTTTGTATAAGGTGTAAGTTGGTGTTCAAGTGTCATTTTTTTGCATGTAGCTGTCCAGTTCTCCCAACACCATTTGTTGAAGAGGCTATTTTTACTCCATTTTATGCTGCTGCCTCCTTTGGCAAATATTAATTGACCATGAAGACTTGGGTTTATTTCTGGGCTCTCTGTTCTGTTCCATTGGTCCGTGTGCCTGTTTTTATGCCAGAACCAGGCTGTTTTGATTACAGTGGCCTTGTAGTATAGTTTAGTATCAGATATTGTGATCCCTCCTACTTTACTCTTCTTTCTCAAAATTGCAGCAGCTATTCGGGGTCGTTCATGATTCCATATAAATTTTTGAAGTGTTTGTTCTATGTCTGTGAAATATGCCATTGGTACTTTAATAGGAACTGCATTGAATGTGTCAATTGCTTTGGGTAGTATGGACATTTTGATGATATTAATTCTTCCAATCTATGAAAACAATATATGTTTCCATTTGTTTATGTCTTCCTTGATTTCTTTCCTCAGTGTTATGTAGTTTTCTGAATACAGGTCTTTTACCTCTTTGGTTAGGTTTATTCCTAGGTATTTTATTTTTCTTTTTGCTATTTCAAATGGGATTTTTTTTTCTTGATTTCTGCTTCTGCTGTTTCATTGATGGTGTACAGAAATGCCTTTGATTTCTGGATATTGACTTTGTATCCCACTGTTTTGCCAAATTCATTTATTAGGTCAAGCAGTTTTTTGGTAGAGTCTATAGGATTTTCTATGTATACTATCATGTCATCTGCAAACAGTAACAATTTTGTTTCCTCCTTTCCGATTTGAATGCCTTTTATTTCTTTTTCTTGTCTGATCACTGTGTCTAGAACTTCCAGTACTATATTGAATAGAAGTGGTGAAAGGGGACAACCTTGTCTTGTTCCTGATCTTAGTGGAAAAGATTTTAATTTTTGCCCATTGAGTATGATGTTGGCTGTAGGTCTCTCATATATGGCCTTTATTATGTTGAGGAATGCTCCCTCTATTCCCACTTTGCCAAGTGTTTTCATCATAAGTGGGTGCTGTACCTTATCAAATGCTTTTTCTGCATCTATTGATATGATCATGTGGTTTTTGTCTTTGCTTTTGTTTATGCAATGTATTACATTTACTGATTTGTGAATATTGTACCATCCTTGCATCCTGGAATGAATCCCACTTGGTCATGGTGTATGATCTTTTTAATGTATTGTTGGATGTGGTTTGCCAGTATTTTGTTGAGGATTTTAGCATCAATGTTCATCAGTGATATTGGCCTGAAGTTTTCTTTCTTTGTTGTGTCTTTATCTGGTTTTGGAATTAGGATGATGTTGGCCTCATAAAAAGAGTTTGGGAGTCTCCCATCTTTTTGGATTTTTTGGAATAGTCTGTGAAGGATAGGGGTTAGTTCTTAAATGCTTTGTAGAATTCTCCTGTGAAACCATGTGATCCAGGGCTTTTGTGTGTTGGGAGTTTTTTGATTACTGCTTCAATTTCTTTTGTTGTTATTGGTTTGTTCAGGCTTTCTGCTTCTTTCTCATTGAGTTTTGGAAGATTATATTTTTCTAGAAAGTTGTCCATTTCACCTAGGCATACAGTTTCTTGGCATACAGTTCTTGGCATACAGTTCTTCATAGTAATTTCTTACAATTACTATGGCATACAGATTTCTTGGCATACAGTTCTTCATAGTAATTTCTTACAATCCTTTGTATTTCTGTGGTATCCTTTGTAATCTCTCCTCTTTCATTTCTGATTGTGTTTATTTGGGTCTTCTCTCTTTTTTTTCTTGATGAGTCCGCTTAAAGGCTTGTCGATTTTGTTTATCTTTTCAAAGAACCAGCTCTTGGATTCATTGATCCTTAGAATTGTGCTTTTAGTCTCTATGTCATTTAATTCTGCTCTGATCTTGGTTATTTCCTTCCTTCTGCTTGCTCTGGGCTGTCTTTGTTGTTGTTCCTTGAGTTCTTGTAGACGTAGGGTTAGGTTGTTTGTTTGAAATATTTCTAACTTTTTTAGGTGGGCCTGTATTGCTATGAACTTCCCTCTCAGGACTGCCTTAGCTGTGTCCCATAAGTTTTGGTTGTTGTGAGTTTGTTCTCATTTGTTCCCAGAAACCTTTTGATTTCTTCCCTAATTTCATTCTTGACCCATTCATTGTTTAATAGCATGCTATTTAATCTCCATGATTTTGAATGTTTGGGGATTTTTTCCTTGGGGTTGGTTTCTAGCTTCAGTACCTTGTGATCCGAGAAAGTGCTTGGTATGATTTCAATTTTCTTGAAATTCTTGAGGCTTGTTTTGTGTTCTGTCATGTTGTCTATCTTTGAAAATGTTCTGTGTACATTTGAAAAGAATGTGTATTTAGCTTCTTTTGGATGGAGGGCTCTGTATATATCAGTAAAGTCTATTTCATCAAGGGTATTGTTAAATGCCACAATACCTTTGTTGATATTTTGTTTGGAAGATCTGTCCATTTTTGTTAGTGGGGTGTTAAAATCTCCCACTATAATTGTGTTGCTGTCCATATCTTTCTTGAAGTCCTCTAAGATTTTCTTTATGTATTTGGGTGCTCCTATGTTGGGTGCATATATATTTACAATATTTATGTCTTCTTGGTGGATTCTTCCCTTGAGTATTATGAAGTGACCTTCTGGGTCTCTCTTTATGGCTCTTTTTTGGAAGTCTATTTTGTCTGATATGAGTATTGCTACCCCAGGTTTTTCTTCCTGTCCATTTGCTTGGAAGATTTGTTTCCAGCCCTTCACTTTCAGCCTGTGCAGGTCTTTTATCGTGAGGTGGATATCTTGTAGGCAGCATATGTGTGGGTCATGTTTTCTTATCCATTCAGCTATTCTATGTCTTTTGATTGGAGCATTTAATCCATTTACATTTAAGGTTATTATTGATAGGTACTTATTCATTGCCTTTTATGTACATGTGTTCCTCTCTCTCTCTCTTTTCCTTCCCTTCCTTAAAGCAGTCCCTTTAGAATCTCTTGCAGAGCTGGTTTGGTGGAGGTGTATTCTTTCAGACATCTTTTGTCTGGGAAGCTTCTTATTTGGCCTTCTACCTTGATTGAGAGCCTTGCTGGGTAAAGTAGCTTTGGTTGTACACCTCTTGTTCTCATTACTTGGCATATTTCTTGCCATTCTCTTCTGGCTTGGAGTATATCCATTGAGAAGTTAGCTGTTAGCCTTATTGGGGCTCCCTTGTATGTTACTTCCTATTTTTCCCTTGCTGCCTTTAATATTCTCTTTTTGTCTTGAAATTTTCCCATTTTAATTATGATGTGTCTTGAGGTGGGCCTCTTTGGGTTCCTCTTGATTGGGACTCTCTGTGTTTCCTGGATTTGTGTGACTTTTTCTCTCATCAAATTAGGAAAGTTTTCCATCATTACTTTTTCAAATAGGTTTTTGATCCCTTGCTCTTCTTCTTCCCCTTCTGGTATCCCTATTATACAAATATTATTATGTTTCACATTGTCTTGTATTTCTCTTAATCCCCCTTAACTCTTTCTGAGTCTCTTTTCCTTTTCTTGCTCTTTCTGGGTGTTCTTTTCTACTTTGTCCTCCAATTCACTATTCTGGTGTTCTGCTTCATCAATCCTACTTTTCATTCCTTCTACTGTGTTCTTCAGTTCAGAAATGGCATTCTTCATTTCCTCTTGGCCCTTGTTGATAGTTTCTGTTTGCTTTTTCATGTTTATATAGTTTTCAGTGAGATCATTGTAGCTCCCCTGTAGTTTCTGGTAGCTCATTGTGAGTTCATTGAGCTTCCGGATAATCATTGTTTTGAGCTCAATATCTGATAGTTGAGTCGCCTCTATTTCATTTAGCATTTTTTTCTGAGGCTTCCTCCTTTCCCTTCATTCGGGGATTGTTTCTTTGTCTTCTCATTGTTCGTGAGACTCTTCTTGTTAGCCTCTGTTTCTTAAATTGTTCTGTTCTGGTTCCCTGTGATTATGGTGTGAACTTCTGTGGTAGAATACCTGTGAGATTCAGTGGTGAAGTCTCCTTCATGTATTCTGGTGTTCACAGCTTCCCCCTGCTCGTCTGGTTTTTCAATGTCCATTATAATTTTTTTTGTCCTGTTTTCATATATGTTTCAGTAACCTAGGCCACTTGCTCTGTTCCTCTTCCGATCCGTGAGTTTCTCTCCCCTGCACAGAGGAAGAGAATCACGCTCCCTCAAGCAAAGCCACCATCTTCAAACCCAATTTTTTCTGAGTTAGTTAAATTTTAAAGGTAGACAAATCCAGATTAGAATAACAAGCAAATGATTGAAGTTAAGGAACACTAGATTAAAATGAACTGGTTTTACTGATCATAGACTAGATAGATCTCATATCAGGACCCTAGTGGCTTCTTTGAGGTGCCCTTGCACAGCTCAGGAGAAGGGCCTGCAGCAGTGGTATGCTAACTCACAGGTGAAGTCACTGATCTCCATGGCTGGCAGAGCTGGGCGGGACAGAGGAGTAGTTTTCACATGCTTCAGGATCTCTACAGAAGCAGATTTCTTTTACAGTTAATAGGTGTGTAACCAACCAAGTTCATTTTCATATGAAGCAAGTTCAATTTCTTCCAAACAGATTGTGACTGGCATGGAAACAGATTTCTGTTTTCCATGCCAGTCTCAATGCTTGGTGGCACAAGGAATAGTGAGGGCATCATGCATCACTATTTAGATAGGCCCTCAGAATCCTCTCAGTCTTGTTGTTTATGATTAGTTGTCTGATAATTAGTTTAAGGTTGATAGAAAAATCCTGGCACAGATCATGAAGATGTTGTCTCTTTAGAAGTCCTGCATGAACCTGAGTTTACTTCCCCCAGCCTGAAAGACAATGAAGGACAAAACCAGAATGTCCATTTTCACTTGTGTCAGAACTCGGAACCTGGCAATTGTAGCCTTCTCTAGGGCAGAAAAGGCTAAATCAGTTGCCAACCCATCAGGCAGAGGGCTAGTTCCTTCCTTATCCTTCTGTGAGAGGTCAAGGGCACAACTCCCTCTTCCCACCATTGTGCAGTGTCAGTTGAGAGATGATGGAAAAGGAAAAGGTTGTTGAATATAATAAGGTGATTGAGTAGCAGAAGGGCCAGAATTTTAAGTTTCACTTAGATTCCCTCCCTTTCTAAACTAGCATTTCCTTTTTCTTTTCCAAATCCTGCTTCCTTGTGTTTTTTTTTCTAGAATTCCCGCTATCAGACCTACCAGCGCATGTGGAATTACATGTATTCCAAGCAGCCAAGTGTGTTTGTGAAGAGCACGGAGGAGGGAATCGCCAGGGTGTTGAATTCCAACTATGCTTTCCTCCTGGAGTCCACCATGAATGAGTACTATCGGCAGCGAAACTGCAACCTCACTCAGATTGGGGGCCTGCTGGACACCAAGGGCTATGGGATTGGCATGCCAGTCGGTATGCAGCAGAGGAACAGCCTCCTTGGGTAGCTTCACCCAGGCAGAGTCAGAGTAGCTAGAACCACTGAATGCAGCATTGAATTCCACAACCCCTGTTTCTAAGAACCAGTGTAACAGTGACATTAGGTGGGCATTGTTGAGATTTTTTAAAAAAGAGCAAACCCACATACTTCCACTAATCAGTGATGAGTTCTCAATCCTTAACTACTAAAGGGCTAATTGATGAGTTATTAATTAATTAACTATTGAGAACATGTTGTTGCTCTTGGTGGATTTTTCAGGCCTTTTGTTCCCTATCTCCTGCTTCCTGCCCATTGGCTATTTCTCTGTAGAGAGTAACACCTTTACTAGCCATGGGAAGGAGAAGGAAAAGGTGGTAAAACTCAAATGAATTAATTTTGCTCTTAGTGTCCCTGGTGAGAGTTTTACTATAAAAGAAGACTGACAAGATCTGATAAGAGGGCTGTCAGATCATCCGTGGCCCTCACTGATGCACCTGCTCCAAGTTGGCAGACGTGTAAATGGTGGAGAGCCCTGGCATTCAGCTTGCTGATCGTACCATCTGATTGTTATAAGGAATACGATGTTTGGCTTCCAGAACGTTGTCCTAGCTCTGCTGTCTAAAGGATATTCACACTTTAGGACTTCCTCTGCTGATAGTACCTCTACTGGGGATGAGGGGAAATTTTGTAGCTGCTTGTTATGATTTTGGAAGGGATCTGAATTGTTCTCCAGGTGATTTGGACCTGGACCCTTCTCCACACACCACCAAGAACCACACTACAGAGAGCTGACACCATCCAAGGCTGTCCTCAGATCAGCAGCAGGGGCACAAGCAGGGATTCAGGCTACCAGGTCATGTGGGAAATTGACACAGAATGTGTGCTCCTCACACATCCCTTCTTCTGACCTTCACCTTGCTCAGAACTCTGTACAATATAGGCTTCACATTGACCTGTCCAGTGTAAGAGCATGAGTTCAAAGTCAGGCAGACCTGGGAGTGCACTCTTGTTGCTGGCTGTAGGACCATGTTGAGGTTATTGAACTCTGAGCCTCAGTTATCCCATTTGTAAAATTAGGCTTCTAATACCTACTGTATAGGATTGATATGAGGGTTAAATCTAATAATCTAGCCAGGTGCCTTACCACAGTGTCTGAGAGCCAATTTGGGGGAACACTGATGCCTTCCCCATTTTTTTCTATAGTTCTCTATGTTATTTGATAAAAGCAGATAACTTCTTAAAGGCTGATCAGAAACGAAGCCAATTAACAGAGATCATAATATGACTCACCTTTGAACTCTCTAAACTCGGACACCAGCAGTTTTGTAAACTGGAGGCCTCACTTGGGGTACTCACAAACCTGTATACCCTCCACTTTCCATCATATTTCATTGATGTCCATTAATATCACAGATTATAGACCCCTTGCAGAAATTTATTGGCAGACATTTTGTTTCAAGGATGTGGAGTGAACCACAAAATGAACTTAAGGTGCACCTTGATAATATTCTAGCAATAAACAAATTTAACACAAATGTCAAGTTTCAAAAGTCTTCATGAAACCAACTGATCAAGAATTAACATAAAGCAGATTGATTCTAGAAATGTCCATCATAATCGGGGAAACAGAGAGAAATGCATTTTTTCAGTATCTAACATGACTTTATTTTTGCATGCACTGTCCTGTTTAATCTCCCCACTTGCAAAGTAGATGTGGCCCTTCCCATTCTAGAGGATGGAATTGGGATTCAGAGCTGAAGAGTCACTTGTCCAAGGTCCCAGAACAAGTAGGGAAATAAGCTTAAGCCTAGGATCCCTGTCTCCAAATTTAGTACTTCACTTACCAGACAAGGAGAGGACAGGCAGGCAGGGCAGCTGTGGACGTTTCTGGGTTCTCAGGCCAGGCTGGGAAGAGCAGTGCACAGTCTACTAATATGATGGAATTTAGTTCCAGCTAAGGTTCTGTCCAGGAAAGACAAGCATGTGTGCCATTCTTAAGCTGGAGGTAAGGGCATAACTATAGAGAAAGCAATGTGGTTGGGCCCAGGAAAATCAGGAGAAACAGAACAAAGAGTGCAATGGGAAATTAGCCAGGTGATTTAGGAGATAAGTAGGCAAACACAGAGTAAGTGAAATAATCCTTTCGCGGGACCCAGGACATGCTGTTGAGGTTTGGTTGAAAATGCCTAGAAAACTCTTTGAAATGCCTTGCTGGCCTGGACAGTTGTCTTCAAACCTGGAATGTTCATTAGTCTGCCACTTAACACCATCTGTTAATTCAAGTAGCTATTCCCTGCAGATGTGTATTAAGTACTAATCCCAAGGCACTGTTGATGTGCGCTCAGACCCGTTATGTAGATGCACTTGGTGCTGCAGGCCTAAAGTTCACATATACCAGTGAAGTTTTATCTATAGAAGGAGAGGTTTTACTTGTTGAGTCCTGGCTGTCAGAGCCCAGAGAGGCCTGGAGCAGCACCAGTTCCCTGCCTGTCAAAATGCTATCCATGGGCCCATGGCAGGCAGCATCTTGGAAATTAGTAGAAGTGCAGACCCACTGAGTCAGAGTGCAAGTCAACAAGGTCTCCAGGTGATTTGTAGGTACATCAGTTTGAGAGTTTGAGAATTTTCAACACAGCCTTTCCCTGGGGGTATCTATCCATATCAGGCCTTCACTGAGCCTGCGCAAGAAAATGTGTGGCTTATTTGGTCTCCAGCCCTTCGGCAGTTTTTCTAATGATGCAGGCCTCAGCCTGTTCTGGGGCATCAAGCCTTCCACTGTTTTATTCAAGCCTGTTTTTGTGATTAAAACTAAATTCTAGAATCAAAGCTCCTTTACCATATTCCAGAAAAATTAAAGAAGAATTGCACTGAACAGAAGCCTTCTGTGGGGGTGTGGGGGAGGACATGTGAACAGGGTGTGGATGAGCCAGTGGGTTCTGGGTACTCAGTAGGTAGCTGTAAGTGTTTGGATGCCTGGTCCCGGTTCTCCACACAGATGGGGAAGAGGAGCTTTTGCCACTCTCAGGTGGCTCTGTCTCATTGGGGGCTGCTCTGGGCAAACAGTTTCCAGGGGTAATGTAGAAGAGGTATAAATGCCAGAGAAACTAACTTAAATAAAATAAAGAGACAACTGCCCAACTGAGGGTTTATATCACAAATTTCTCTCCTCGGTCCCTGTGGGGGCAGATGGAAGGCTTTGCAACCGGCTTCTTGCCTGGTGCAGGTTAACCCATAGTGGAAAGTGGTGGCCCAAGGTGGGGAAGAAGAGTGCCTAGAGAGCTGTCACTGGACCTGCGTTAGTGTCTAGGCCAAGGGATCCACCAATCAGCATGGAGACAAGGGAAGTGCAGTGCCCTGACTGAGGGCACTGAACTGTGTGCCCTGGGCTGTGTGAAGCCAGAACCTTCTTCCCCACAAAAACCCTCAGACTAGCACTGAGGAGGGCAGTGCCCTGGGGACTGCCCCATCTGTCACTTCATGCTTCCCCCTTGGCTCCCCAGCAGGTTGGCCAGGAGGTTTCCTGGAAGAGGGGCACAGTGTGTGTAAGAGGGCACTCACAGCCTGCGTTCTGGGCTTTTTTGCCTCCACAGGCTCGGTGTTCCGGGATGATTTCGATCTGGCCATTCTCCAGCTGCAGGAGACCAACCGCCTGGAAATTCTGAAGCGTAAATGGTGGGAAGGGGGTAAGTGCCCCAAGGAGGAAGATCACAGAGCCAAAGGTAAGCTTGTTCAGGGCCTCCCCTAGTGCTCTAGAGACCCACAGAGCCTATTTCTGTGTACACATTCCAGCTAATGACTTCAAAGGCATATGGGGAACACCCTTGGATGGAACCTGGGGCTAAACTGTGACTGGCTGGCGGTCCATCCTATCTCAGGGTCCTGGCATATTGCAGGTATCCAATGTCTACCTGGCTCACAGGTGCTGGAGACTACACTTCCCCCACGTCTCCTGAATCTGGCCTCGTCTTAACCCTACTACCACCACTTCCCCCTGGTTCTTGCCCTCATCACCTCAGAACCACATGACTGAAACAGCCTGTTCTCCTTCTCAATCTTGCCCCTCTACAGTGCATTCTCCACCAGCAACTGGAGTGATTCTTTCTAAGATTCTAGTACAAGTACAGCATCAGTCTGCACCTTCCAGTGGTGTCCCACATCATTCACAGTTAAGATCAAGCTTTCTGTAGCCTCAAGCCCCTACCTTATCTGCTTCTCCCTTTTCCTTTTCTTCCCCAAGCTTGCCAGGTTGCAGCCCCCTCAGAGTCTGTGCCCTTGTCTCCTCCTCCCGGCCTCCCAAAGGATACTCCCTCAGCAAGATCATCCTTCCCCACCCACACAGCTCTCCCCATCACCCAAACCCTGTTTTATGTTTCTTCCAAGACTTCATCACTATCTGATATTACATTATCCATTCATTTATTTGTCTATTCCCATGTCCTCTACCAGAATATCACTTTTCATGGAGGCAGAGTTTGTCTTTTTCACAGGGTTGTCCATAGGGTCTAGCACATGGACAGTTTATTGAATGAATGAATGAATGAATGAATGAATATTAAATCAGGCTGAATAAAAGCAGGCACTGACATATGTAGTTAAGAATTCTTGAGCACCAAGGGGAACACATATCCTGATTTTCCCAGAATAGTACCAGATAACACCTGTTGTAGATCAGTTAACTCTTGTTATTTATTTTTAAAACCCCCCTCATTCTCAAAATGTCCTGGTGTAAACAATAAATCATATAGCTCACCCTAGTAATCTACTATAGCCTTGCCAAAATATACAACAAATTTACCTATACATTTTCTCCCCTAGGAAGGCAGCAGAGCAGTAAAATGGATAGTAATACATACCATGTGCTTTCCCCTCTGCTCAGCATGATGAGACAGTGAATGAGTGACTTTGTGTTTCCAAGTACCTACGTGGCTCTCTGTCCTGCAAGGAGAGATCTCAGGAATATGGACCTATGGGCAAGCCCTTTGTAAGTTAGAGGAAATGCTACCTCTTCCATCAGAGTAACCTAGTGAGGCCACACACTTCCCAGCTGCCCACTCCCCAAAGATCAAGTGTAGAGGACACTACTCTGTTCATTCAGAGAAAAAAAATGGGGAGGTACAAAGAAAAGTATCAGGAAACTTTTGTGGGTGGATAGAATGAACTAGATGTTGAAGATACCCAGGACCTGAGTAGGTAGGGAGGGTACTGCAGGCAATAAGCACCTTGAGGAAAGGCAAGGAGGCAGAAATTAGTGCAGTGGGCAGGGCTGTGAGCATACACTGTAGGTGTTGCAGGTGGAGCAGAGAAAGATCCCCATGGAAAGAGGTAGGCTGCCTGCAGAATTTATGCTACAGAAGGTATAGGTAGCAGAATGCTCCTCTACCACCTCTTCCCCCCAAAAAAAGACACATGGGCTGAAAGCTTTCTAAATCTGACTGGACCTGGAGTAGTCAAAATGAAATGAGATTATTTGTACGTTGACATATGTTAATGTTTTTCTGTGATAACAGTGAACTTGAGAGTGGTAGGGAAGAACCATTCTGCCAAGAAAATGAGGAAGGAAACAGTGTTAGCTATTGATCTGGAGAAATCTAAAAATAAGAATGGAGGGGAGGAAATGGGACCTGGGCCAAAGAGCCCAGGTCCTTCCTCTGGCTGATCAGTGGCAGCCTGTGATCCTTATGTACACCATCTCCCCACAGGGTACTGGGTGCCTTCTGTGGCTTTGGACAGGGCCCTCAGTGTAGCATACTGCATTTCTTGGTCTCTTTGCCTGGATGACGGCACCTTAGCCAGGGTCCCAGTCACATTGGCTTCTATGTCCCTAGCCTCCACCACAGAGCCTAGCACATGTTATGTATTCAGTAAGTGTTTGCGGGGTGTGTGATCATGCTGACTGATAGCTAGCAAAAGCAACCAATCACTGTGTTCTCCTAGGCCACACTAAAGTGACAAATGAAACTGTGCTTGTAATCACTTTCCTCAGCAGCCTTTATACCCAGAGTTTTCTATACAGTACAGTTGTTCCTGCCTCTGATTAGCCTACTGAATGTGTGCAGATGAGAGAGTCTGGAGCAACACAGCCATGGCCTCGGAACCTCAGCAGGCATGGGAGGAGTTTCACTGGCCCCTGCTAGTGCCCCACCAAGTTGCCAGCTTTCCTTTCTTTTACAAACCTGATCCTATCTGATCCCTGGAAGCTGGTTTCCCCTTGAGAGTCACCAGAGTTAATCCCACCTCCCAGGTTCCCTCTCATCTACAATCCCTAAACCTCACCACAGGTCCTTCCTTTTTGTGCACTTCATTACTACGTATACTTCTAATCCTATGGAGAAACAGTGGTGAACCAGCAAACACATGGGTATGATGGCGTAGGATCTGGGTACCTTAAAGTTTTCACTCAGGGCCTTGATTTAGATAATCTCACTCCTATTTTAGATGTCACAAAAAATGCAATGGACTCTTTATTTTTCCCACCTCACCCCCCAAGAATGGAATCCTCCAAACATTTACCCTCCTGTACCCTGTTGCTTCTGTTGATAGCCACTAGAATGGTTCTCTTCCTTGAGGCAGTTTTTAAAAAATATTTGATTTTTAGAGAGAATGGAATGGGGGGAGAAAGAGAGAGAGAAACATCAATGTGTGAGAGAAACATCAATTGGTCACCTCTCACATGCCCCCAGTAGGGACCTGGCCCACAACCCAGGCCTATGCCCCAACTGGGAATCAAACCAGCGATATCCTGGTTCACAGGACAGCACACAACCCACTGAGCCACCCCAGTCAGGGCTTCCTTGAGGTAGTTTTGATAGCATTGAAGACAATGGGCACTGAATCAAATGGACTCCACTTCATAGATGTCCTTGTTGTATACACTACAAAAGGCCATTGAACCTCGATTTCCTTTTGTAGAAAGTAGAGGCAATAATAATTCCACCTTCAGGGCTATTATAAAGATTGAAGGAATGACATCATGTTAAACCCTCAGCACAGCAGCTGGCACAAAGGAAATACATACTTAGTTTATTCTAAAATCTCAGTGTAAAGAACATTAAAGCACAATGAGAGGTCTAAATAGTATTAATAAGCCACAGGTGTACCTGTCTGTTCCGTGCTTCTTAAGGCTAGACAGTTCTTCCAAAATCAGCACTTAGTACATTCCTTTTGTGTCTGTTGATCTCTTTCTCTCATTGACGATGAGAAACTCAGGGACAGGGACTGTGTCTTATTTATTTTTGTATCCTAGTGAGCAGCATATCATCTGTCATCAGTATCTGAGGAAAGAATTAACAAGAAATTAATGAAAGAATGAATGAGCAAACTCATCAAGGACCCCAGCCTGGCACTGTTTCCACACTCATCCTATGTCTGTTTCCTCCCAAACAGGAACACTGACATCTGAGGTGTTGGCATTGAAAGTGTTTACGTAGTCCCCATTGCATCCAGCAAACACTGTAAATTGCTGCATATTAGGCACTGTGCTAGGCTCAGAAATGACAAAAGGAATAAGATATGGCTCTACTCTCAAGAGGTTTAGAACATAGAGAGAGGCACAGTCTTTTAATGTTCCCCTGTGAGTCTACTTTAATGAAGAAAGCTCTCTGAAGTCTAGCAGAAGAAGATTAATTCTGAGCTAAGGTCAGGGAATGCTCTAGAGACAATTGGCCTGGACCTCAAAACATTCATTCAGAGTCACTGTTTTAGGAATGTTATGGAGCACAGTTGTTACACTCAGAACTTGTTGTGGGTAAGTTGGATGAGATTGGAGCTAACTGGGCATTCAAACCTAGGTAAAGACATTTGGGCTTCAAACCAGCATGTCCCATACTTTCCCACAGAAGGAATTAATAGCAGAGAAAACTGAGCATGCACTCTTGGGATCTAGGAACATAGTCTAAAGCAGTCCTCCATTCTTGGAATTTCCTTAAAGTGTTCTGCTTTGTCCTAAAGATACATGTGAATTTTGCATGTGACAACATAATACAAGCATGTTAATTTAATGTAAAAACATTTTTCTGACTTAAACTGAAGTAAAATCAGTACTCTAGGAAGAGGCCCCACAACCATCCCAGAGGTCTGCTTGTGCCTCAGCACAGTAACATCACACTGGATTGGGTGTGAGGTTACTGACAGCAGAGGCACAAGTTCTGGGTGAGATGTGGCATGATGGAAGCAGGTGCTGTGGATGGAGTTCTGAGCTCTCATGGCATTCATGGTCCTAGGGGACAGTCATCACCCCAAGAAGAACACAGTCAAATGGGCTTTCAGTTCCCAAAGAAGCTCTTAAAATCCACAGTAGAACAAATGTTCTTAGAGCTTAAAGTGTTCAATTTGCTTGAAAAATATAAGCTTGGCATAAAATTGACAATACAAGTTAAAGAATGAAAAAAGAATAGAAGAGCCAGTCCACCTCATCTGCAAACCAGGCACTAAACGGATACGCTAGTCAGCACAGGCAACTTCGGAGCAGGAAAGGATATGTTTGAATGTGGCAGGTCCCTGAGAAGGAGCCTTGTGTCCTGCTGGGATAGGAGAGTAGTACATAGAACTCCTAGATTAGTTGAGGATTCCAAGAGAGAAAGAGATTTTTGCTGGAGTTTGGCAAACCCCAGGAATAGGTGTCTTGCTATGGTGCACTGAGAGCGTGAGGGATGGCACACAGGCCCAGGGTAGAGAAGGCCTGGGGACTGGTCTGTGTTTCCCTGGGCTCTAGATAACAACA